TCGACTCATTCATGACTAAACAAATATAAACTGTTAAAAAAGTTAATTATTAACTAATGTTGGAGCACGTGTCGACTAGTCCACAGACCTGACCAGAGGTCTTGACTAGAGGACTAGTCAACTAGTCAGTCCTAGTCACTCCTGGTCCTCGTTGTTACCGTCCAGCTGCTAACAGCAGTCAGGTCAAGTTAGCGTTAGCAGCACGGCTACGGTTTAGGCTAACCCTTATTTTTAGATAAAAGAAGACGAATAAAAGTAGAAACTCACGACTTTGTGCTGAAGTTAATTTTACTGAAGAAAAAAAATCCCTTTCTTGCCTCCGAGGATTCAAGGAGTTAAAGCAATCAGTGAATGTGTTATAAGGGCCACACGGTGGCAGAAGTGGGTATTTCGGTGGCTGTATTTCGGTGGCTGTACATTGTTAATCCCTGAGGGATCTTGGGAGTCATTTTTTTTTGTATTAATATTTATTTCTTTGAGTCACATGACTGATGACTTCAGACCATGTTTGTTGGTACCAAATGAATTCACCGTTATTTTGAAAGTGTGATTTAACCCAGAGTTAAACTGGACAGGGTCGACTTCACTGGCTGTTTGGCAACAAACCAGGGATCGTACGGAGTGGATGGAAATGTTTGGAGTGTAAACACTTTGTTTCTGAAGAAGCTTTTTATCCACTCAAAAACAGGAATTTGTTGAAAGGTATTATTATAATAATTGGCTAACTGCTAACTGCTAACTGCTACATCTGAACTGAAATAAACCCCACTTTGATTCAAACCTGGTTTCAACGTTCATAAAAGTTATTGTTATTACGAAGGAAATAAAAATATATTTGTCTTGAATGAATTTTCTTTATCCCAACTTTAATTGTTTTTCACGTTCACTCGTAACTGCAGCATTAAATTACTATTCATGCACACAGCCTCAGCAGCAGTCAGACCGTCAGACAGTCAGTCAGACAGGCAGTCAGTCAGACAGTCAGGCAGACAGTCAGCCAGTCAGACAGTCAGACAGCCAGACAGACAGTCAGTCAGACAGACAGACAGTCAGCCAGACAGACAGACAGACAGACAGACAGACAGTCAGCCAGACAGACAGACAGACAGACCGACAGACAGTCAGACAGACAGACAGACAGACCGACAGACAGTCAGACAGACAGACAGACAGTCAGTCAGACAGCCAGACAGTCAGACAGTCAGTTAGACAGTCAGACAGACAGTCAGTCAGTCAGACACTGAGACAGTCAGTCAACAACAGTCAGACAGGTCCCTGTTGTCCTCCAGGGTTTGTCAGTGCGATGGGAAAGTATTTTACTCACTAACATGTAATTAAAGAGTTAAAATAATAACAGTTTTTCACTCGTTAACCCATTGATGACCAAACAGATTTAAGTGACGTTTATAATGTGGAAAGACAAAGACTCATCTCCGCGCGGTAGCATTTGTGTTTATGTAAAAATAAAAAAGTTTTCATTTATATTTTTTGTGCGCTGAGTAACGATCAGGTGCTTTTGTTTCAGTCGGTGAGGGTGGGGGTGAGGGTGAGGGTGGGGGTGAGGTCGGAAGTCCTATAGCGTCTCATTTGTTGGACAAACATTGACTATTTTGATTAATAACAAGTCTGGCTGTTTTATTTCAAGCTCATAGACATCACTGACAGACTGACACGTCGACGTCTTCTTCTGATTCTGTCCCAGATATTCAAGTAAAAAAAAAAGTCGCTGTGAAGTCTTGACACCATGGAGCCGGCTCATTCAGAAATCAACATTCTAGCCAATGGGAAAGGCCACGACATCGTGGAAGACATGGGCGTCCAGATGAGCACGCTGCTGGGAGACGACCAGTGAGTATTCCCGCCGCGGTCCACGCGTCAACTCAGCATGTGTGACCAGGTTTGGGTCGGACCGTCGTCACGTCTTTGTTGAATGTGTCCAAACGCTGTTTTGTCCAGATCTGCTTTCTGATTGGCTTGAATTTCCAAAGCCTTCATTAGGGATGTCCGATAATATCGGCCAACCGATGTTAGCTTAATTATGTCATATCGGTAAGAATCGCTTTTACACCTTCACCATCGCCATCGTTAACATGACGCTCGAACACATTTTTAAATCGCTTCATTTGTTGATGTTTCTCGGTCGTCGTAGCTACAAATTATTTTTTTGTGTAGGAAACCCAACGTAGAACAGAAACTCTAACGCTAGCCTTTATCTGAACACCTTAATCAACCTGGTAATATTAATTACTAATTAGAAACTTTACCAACTATATTTGATCTAATAAATATAAAAACGAAAACGTCTACGCCGTCTGTGATTGGCTGTCGACTCGTGCAGTGTTTCCTTCGTCTGCTGTTGTTCCCGTTGTTGTTGTATTGTGACTGTTGTTGTACACGACAGTTGATTGTCTTTCTGCGTCGCTGTTGCTTTGTTCTAAACGCATGTTTACCTTGTTTTGGTGCTCGCTTCAACCTGTGGATCCTGACCCAGAAATGGCACCCAGGCGGTCAGGTAGGTCACTTTGGATTTCTACCACCGGCTTTTTTTTTTGCGCTGAATGTGTTTTGATTTGATTTGTTTATGTGACTAATTAAAAATAATAAAATAATTATTAATTCTGATGTTGGCATTAATTTGGTTTTTAACCTCATCCAGGTTTGATGATCCTGAAGGAGGTTTGGAAAACGATGAGTTTTTACCCAGTACCGATGGAAAGGCACCGGTTCGCTTCAAAGACGTAAGTGAGACACAATAAAGCACCGGTTCGCTTCAAAGACGTAAGTGTGTGAATGAGACACGATAAGAACAAAATGAACGCGTCAGTCACGATAATTCATTTGCTAAATTATTAGCTTCCTATTTTTAGCCCCGATGATCAGAACCGTTCACACACCAACCGTCCTTGTTGTCCGTCCGTTTGTCCAGCTGCTCTAACACACACACACATACTGTTGTTCACACACACACACACACACTGTGGGGAAAAAGTTTTCTTTTCACCCCGAGCCACTCAGGCTTAAAATACCCAGCATGCCTCTGTGGAGGCGTCAACTTCCAGGTGAGATTCCCGGCTTGCGTCAAACCGACCTCGTCTTTTTGGGACATATGTGTGAATGTTGACGAATCATAATCAGTCATGATTATTTGCAATCCTGAATCATTCATTGTGATTAATTGCGATTAATTGCGATTAATTGTGATTAATTGTGATGAATCCACAGCTACTCTTCCATTCTTCAGATTCATTTTTTTTTTCACCTTTATTTTTTCTTTCTTTTTTTCCCCTCACCAGTTCGAAGGAAAGACATCGTTCGGTATGTCCGTCTTTAACCTGGGTAATGCTATTATGGGCAGTGGAATCCTGGGATTGGCGTACGCCATGGCGAACACTGGCATTCTCCTGTTTTTGTAAGTCCAGAGCGTTTGATGAAGTGCTGAAAACACACCTGTTAAAAGACGTTTTCGAGGAAACGACTGTGACGTTAAATCTGCAGCTACGACGACGTGGCTCTGTTACTGGACAGATACGCTGGTCTTTACATCTGGTATCGTCCAATGATATGGTTATATCCGGGGCTAACCTTTGGAAGGCTCCTGACCCCCCCTGTCTCCCCCCCCACCCCCCATTACAGGCAGATAGAGAAGCAGGAATAAACAGAGCTCAGAATAACCAAATCCCATCTGGATCTGTCATTGAGTTCTACGTGATGACCGACAGTGTCCGACCAGAGCGTTAGCTGCGGACGAACAGTTTTAATATAAACTGTGACGTTCTTGGAATTCTGACGTAATCTGGCAGATTATTCCACACAGTATCAGCCGAAGGCTTTTAATCGGCACTAGGTCTGTTGACCTCTGTTGACCTCTGTTGACCTTTGCCCTTATGCCGCAGGTTTCTGTTGACTGCAGTGGCCGCCTTGTCTTCTTATTCCATTCACCTGCTGCTAAAGTCCTCTGGAATTGTGGGTAAGCATCACTTAAATATCAGCATTCAGACAAACTGGAAAAACAGACATGAAATAGACTCAGACCAGGGGGGGGGGGTCCACCCTGTGGCACAGTGGTCAGTGCCCCTGCCTTACACCCAGTGGTGACCGTTGGTGATTCTCTAAACAGTAAAAATTCAAACTTTTTTTTTTTATGTGTTTGAAGGGATCCGAGCTTATGAACAGCTGGGCTTCAGAGCTTTCGGAACGGCCGGGAAAATGGCTGCTGGAATAGCGATTACTCTGCAGAACATCGGAGGTGAGTTTTCAACCTCTGACCCCGCTGTGTGACCTCTGACATAAACATTAGACAGGTGGTGTCGGCCATTACGGCTCCTCCAGGTCTCAGCGACGTTCAGTTCTGTCGGATTTGTCTCTCAGTCAAAAATGAGCTCCGACACAAAACACCTTTTTGCAGAAAATATATTTATTGGTTATTTCCTGATGAAGTTTGTACGATATTTTCCAGATTATAAGTCTCTCCAGTGCCCTCTAGTGGCTGTCAGTTTGAAAAAAAAAAACATGTAAATGAGCTCCGACACAAAACACCTTTTTGCAGAAAATATATTTATTGGTTATTTCCTGATGAAGTTTGTACGATATTTTCCAGATTATAAGTCGCTCCAGTGCCCTCTAGTGGCTGTCAGTTTGAAAATAACAAACATGTAAATTTTTAGTGGTACAGAAGTAGCAGTTCACAAGCCTAGAGTGCCCTCTAGTGGCTGTCAGTGTGAAAATAGTAAACGTGAAATTATATATTTTAATATATATAAGTCGCAAACGCTGACAAAGGACGAAAAAAACCAACATTTTAGTTTCGTCTAATTTCACTTCCTGCGGGGGAGGGGCTGAAATGTCATTGTTTACTTTTGTAAAAACGTGACTCGGTGTTCAAGGCTACGTGGCTGCTGTTGACCTGACACCAGGCGTTCTTCTCACTCCTCCTCTTCCTCCTCTTCCTCTTCCTCTTCCTCTTCTCCTCCTGCTGCTGCAGCCATGTCCAGTTACCTGTACATTGTCAAGTCGGAGTTACCTCTGGTCATCCAGGCCTTCCTGAAGGCAGATCCCAACTCTGAGTGAGTATCAACATCACGGCGTTCCCTCATCATCACATGACTCTCACCTGCCCGGTGTCAAAAGGTCATGTGGTCGGGGAGTGTGTCGGCGGGGGGGGGGGGTGTGATAGGAACGGCAGCTTTCAATTGGCTGCAGAGCGGAGAGGTCAGATACGCCAGCGATGTATAAACACACAACAATCTGTGGAGTGAAGTACGTCAGCGTCACCGACACAGGCACAGCTTCCAGCTGCCTATTCAACTCTAAAATAAAATACGACATGTGATGAGGAGAGGGTACACTGGCTGCAGATACAACGCCCCCCCCTTCACCGCCCCCCCCTCACACACACACCCTCCCCCTCAGAGGGATCAGGAAACAAACAGAGACTCTGATAAGAAGAAGATGACGTGAATATTTCCGACAGTAAAGGTTTTAAAACAAACATTAAGGACAAACACCTGCTCAGAATATTCTTACAAGTACAGTTCAACATGAACCACATAGTGGTTTCTCATAAAGGTGTATAAAAACAGGTCATTCTTTCTTCACGATGTACAAATTTGTAAACAAAACTAATCAAAGCCGTTCCCTGACGTTCAGGGTCATGTGATGAAGTTTTTTCTAGTATAACTAGTATAACTAGTTCCCATGAGAACTAATTGCCGACTACCATATTATCTGGACTATAAGTCGCACCAGCCATAGGAAGAAAAAAAGGTGCAGTAGTAGATACTGGTACACAAGCCTAGAGTGCCCTCTAGTGGCCGTCAGTGTTATATATTTGACTATAGGAGTCCAAACCCAGAGTTATATATTTGACTATAGGAGTCCAAAGGATGGGAAAAAAGTGCGAGTTATAGACTGGAAAAAACAGTCGTTAAATTTATAGGAGATTTTGCGGGTGACAAAAGGTGGAGGACGTGGTAAACCCCCCGTCATGTCAGACATGTTGGACATGTTGGACCACCTGTCCTCTCACTGGTGGACAGTGTGAATGTCCTCAGAAACATAAACATCCGGTTGCCCTTCAAGCTGTTGTTTGACCAGGATTATTATGGGCCACCGTTGACCTCCTGCTGCTGTCCTCCAGATAACGTTTCCATGTGGGCCGCAGCCCGATGAAGGGCACGGCACTGGGCCGTATCAGGAGGAGTGGGACAAAGTCACACCAGCGTCGGTGTTTGGGTGGATTCACGTCAGGGTCAGGAGATTAGTAATCACTGTACTTGACAGATGAAGTATTATGACTCTGAGTACCCCACCCCCCCCCGCCCTGGACACACACACCGATCATAAATAGACCTTCCCACCCCCCCACCACTGCAGGGTGGGGGGTGGGGGGGGGGGGTGATTCTTCAAATAGAGC